GACTCACGACATCCTTCAAAGATCGGAAAGCGTGGACAGCCATCACGCGAAAGTTCTTGAAAGCGGTACGTGACGATGGTGCCCACTTTGGGCTCCCACATTCGACGCTGCTGCTCGACGAAGCCCGAGCCAATGTCGAACACCGTTCCGCACTCCATTCGAACGACTATGGCGCCCATCGCTGGGTAGCAAGTTGAGGAAGGAGTCAAAAGAAGCTACTCCGCCATCGCGTGCGAGCTCATGCTCACCGCTCGCGTTTCGATTTTCCCCCCTTTTATGCCCAACGACGATTGCTTCGGCTGTGTACCAGGATCTGAGGGTCGAGACAAAGACACGATGAGCCACAACTGAGGTTCATGAAACCGCGTAGCGACCCTGCCCTACTCACTTCAGTTTGAGCACGATCGAGGTCCTTTCGCAGATGTACTTGCTCTGAGGCTTTCTCAGCATGAGACCTTCCCCACCCATCTCCTCTACGCGACGCAGCTCTTCGCGACAATGCTCGCGGGAAGTGCATTTGACCATGGGAAGAACGCATACAAATCCGCCGAGCTCCGCACCTTGTACTTTGGACGGGGACATGACACCATCCGGCAATCTTTCGGCCAACCACTTCATCCGCTCTTCGTACAGCATTGCGACATCTGCGTGGGGTCGAAAATCAGCACGGTTACTCGTTTGCTTGTGCTGAATGTGTCGAGGCACGGTGGCTCACTCGTGACATCGAAGATCATATAGTTGATCGGGTGCCAATCCTTCTTCTCCTGCATTCGATTGACGGCCGGGTCAGGGTCTGTTTCGCCGCGCGATTCAAAGGTACGTACTTGGCGTCGGCAGATGCTACAGGTCCGTTGGAAAGCATCTCTCCGAATCCAAAGCTCGCCATCCAGATGCAGACTGCGGAACGAAAGGACGATAGAGCCTCAGATTTTTGAGCAGGTACACAATCCTGAAGAGCTTGACTGACTCTTTGGGAAGTTTCTTCAGCCACCAGTCTGGCGCGTTCCAATGATTGCCTTGTCTTGAGAACTGAGCGTGCCCCGGTGATGTGAGATTGACGCAGTGAGAGCACGAGATTGATGCACTCACGAGAGAGTCTCCGTCCCACCATGCTCGGACACCATCTAGCTAGGAGAGTGAGCGTTCGACAAGTCGGCATCCATAACGAGGTTTGCATCGGCTAGCAGTTGCAGCGCTCACCTTCTCGGTCAGCCAGTAGCCAGTAGGATCGAGCTTGTCGTCCAAACGAAAAGTCTGCCCGAGCATGAGGGATATCTGAGGGGGCGCCGAATGTGCTCAGACTAAAGTCGACGAGTGTGACGAGGGCTTTCAAGTGCACGTGGACCCACCTGTCCTTGCTCATCCCTCGGACACGTCGGCTCCACATTCTCCTTCTTGTCTTTCTTCGCGATGCTGTTCCTGATCTCAGCATCTGCCGCTCTCTTCTTTGCTTGTTCCGCTGTCTTCTTCGTCACAGTGAAGCCGGCATTCCTACTTTGCGATGCGAGAATGTCCTTGGCGGCAATCAAGCGCGCATCCTCGTAATTCTTTCCATGTAGATCATTCAGATGAGGACATGTACGAGCTGTTCTAGGTTCCCGTGAGAGTGTCCAACGCGGGCATGTACAACTGAACGATTGACCATCTTGAGCTCGCTGTGGAGCGCGCGAAACCCCAATCAGTACTGGACGTGCCACTCTGCGGGTGAATGATGCATACACAGGAGGGACGAGGCCTCACAGCGACAGCTCACCTTGACGACGTGTTTCTTGCCTCCTCCGCCTGGAAAGAGCCGCTCTTCACCGGGCTTGAGGATGTTATTGGGTTTTTGAAGCCTGACCAGCCCCGTTTCGATATGTATAGCAGGCTGGCTCATCCTGGCTGCTCTGTACTGCGTCTTCTGACCTGCTCAAGGGCTTTCGAACAACCTCCGTTCGGAAGCGGAAGGCAGCGTTTGCAGCTTCTACCATCTGGTCTCGACTCGAGCCCTTATTTGGCTGCTCGTCTGCCTCCGCCGGCATGGGTACGTGGCGCGAAGGTCCCCCATGTGTATGCACAGGCGTCGCTTCCGAGGTGAGGATCTGGTTCGGTGCTTGGAGCCAGGTAGCGGGGACCACTTGTCATACTTTTCAGTCAAAAGTTGAAGGTGCCTTCCTAGCGTCAGCACTCAGGTTGCATGTATCGGTGGCTGTCACGTGGGCACACGACACCCTGCACCAATTTTGAATTCGAATCAAGAATCAAAATTGGATTCAAAGGTTGCGAATGGCACCATACAATCAAATCAAAATCTTGTACGACGAATCAAGACTTCAACTATCAACGCGATCCAGAGCAGGCCAAAATCAAAAGTCGAGCGCACGCATGCTGAATGAATCTGCTGCCCCTCGATCGACCAATCAACAAATGACAATTAGCGTACAACCAATAAGGATTGCAGTGTATGTAAAAGCTAGCAGAGTCTGCATGGGCGCTGATCTGCGTGCTGCTGGCCAAACACAACTTCGTTGAAGGCATCAAGAAGGCGGTCTCAAGAGCCAAGTCACCAGGAGAGTACTTTATCTCGAAGAAGTTTTTGGAGAGAAGCGAGCGCCTGCAGGAGTGGGGATTGCGGCTGAGTATCAGAATCGAGTCAAGAGACTATCGATGGTGAATGTATGTACGGGCCCTTGTTGACCGAGCAAGCCTGCGTCAAACACTTGGCAAGGAGACGCACATTCAGATTCGCTACTTATGACTCGTGACTGTAATTTGATTCAAACCCTCCAGCAAGTCCAAATATGGACGTGACCTCGGTGCTTCAATTCAAGATTTAAAATACATGCTAGAGGGAGGACCGCGCTCGGCTTCGATCCGGCTCACGCCAGCCGAGAGCCGATCTTTGCGTTCGTTGAGTCGCTCTGCAAAAATGCGGGGCGGCACGCACACGATCGTGTTCTTGATTTGATTGCGCATCAGCATGAGCCGCGAGAAAGTCTCGGCTGCAAGGCGCACCAGCCTCACCGCTGCTGCATATTGACTCTTCTGACTGTCCTACAGACAGAGAGCCATGATGGGTGTGGTGTCCCTTCTCGATTTTGCACGCTCGCTGCATGCACTTGATGCTGCAGTCACGAGTTGCTCCTGCTACTACGCTAGCAGTAAATCGAAGTGGGGACTGTAGGTAACAGCAACCGTACGACGAGATGCTGCATGTATATGTTGGGGAACAGCCGCGCGGCGTCTATCGCAAAGGGTTGTTTGTATACTCTGCTGTACGCTGCATGAATCCATTTCCATTCACATTCACATTCACGATTGTCGTGATTCGCCCGCTGCGTTCGCGGCAACCACTTGCTTGTTTGCAATCCCTCCATCTCCACGTGCTTGCACCTACACTGGTGTCTGTGCCGAACGTCGGACGTCTGTCGCCCTCATCGCCATTGCTTCACACACGGTCACGCTATTCAAGAAGGCACGAGGCAAGGCTCTCAGCCAAAACGGCTTCAAGTCCGGTATACCAAAAGACCAAGCTGATCAACACAGACCGTGGTGCAGATCAGGGCTTCAAGGTAGACATTTGCTACAAGCACCATTGTTTGCTCCACCAATCCACCCTTCTGGTGCATCTCCACGACCACAGAGCACAAAATGTCCAGACCTGCTGGAAAGGCTCCAAGAGCGCCAAACACTACCGACCTCGTCCTCGGCAGCTTTTCCAATGTACCTCCAAACGAGACATTGAATCATGCCATTCGATACTTGGGAACCTGGTCTGGGTTCGACAAGGTGCGCTAAGATCACCCTGTGCCCAATTCTTCACAAAGCATGAACTCACGCAGACTTTTCTGCTCTTCTTGCTTTCCTCTGTATCTTTGTGGCAGGCAATGATGGTCACGCAGTATGGTAGCAAGCTCGTCGTAGCTTTCTTGTCTTTGCAGCACGTACTCAGAGTCAGACTAGCTGGAGCAAAAACCTTTCACGCAGAGCATGGCGGGAGTAGCGTGGCTAAGCGCATCACCAGATTGGGCGGGCTCATCAGCGACGCCAGAACTCTCTATCGTATCTGGGGCATTCTGCCGATGATTCAGTGGGTGAGTGGGAGCGCGACTTGTCGGACGGTTAGGCACAGATAGGGCACCTGTGAATATCAGGCGAGCTTGCACGAGGATGTGCGAGGACCTGAGAAGGACGGACGACTTGAGGGGAATCGGGACTTAGAGGAGGAGGATACAAAGCTCAGCAGAGCATC